AGCTTTAGACATTGTGGATGAGTGAATCTCCTCATCCACCACCAGTGTGCAGCATCCACCTGGATGACATGACGGCAGCCATATTGCAGCCAGACCACTCACCAGCTGATTGGTGGAGAGGAGACAGAGTGATGTAGCCAATTATGGTATGGATATGGTTAGGAGGCGATGATAGACAGAGGCCAGTGGGCAAATTTGGCCAAGATGCCAAGGTTAAATCCCTAATTGTTTTTTTAAGGACATTCTGGAATTTTTAACGACCACAGAGTCAAGTCCTTGGTTTAACGTCTCATCCAAAAGACAGCGCTCACTGAGCAGTATAGGGTCCAATCAATATATGAAGGCTGAGCGCCCCCTGCTGGTCTCACTACCACCACTTCCAGTAGCAATCAGCTTTCTCATGGTCTTCCATTCAGGTACTGACCAGGGGCCTCATGTACGAAGACTTGCGTGGAAATCTTACTAAAACATTGCGTACGCACAAAGCTGTAAATGTGCGTACGCAGAATAAAATTCAGATGTATGAAACACTGCGTACGCTGAATCTCACGCATATTCTTTTGTACATCCGAATGAACGTGAAACTGAGCGCAACATGCACGAGCACAAAACCCCTCCCTGCCTCCTCCCCCGTATGAATATGCTAATGACTATGCTAATGGCAAAACCCAACGAAAAAGCAATGGCAAAAGCAAGCAAAAAGAGAAACTTTGAACAGAATGTGAAATGGAGGTGCTGCTTTCGGAGGTAGAAAGGAGAAAAGCGGAGTTATTTGCAAGTTTGTTCTCCGGAATTAACAACAAAAGAAAAAAAATAGAGTGGGAGAGTTTAGCTGATGCGGTTAACACAGTTGGGTCTGAACATCGCACTGAGTGCATTAAAAAAAGAAATGGTGTGGTTTATATCTGTAAAATGTTGCAGCACCCTTAACAGTCTCAGTGGCGCACCTCGTAAAACGCATGTCAACATGTTTTGACACGTTCGAGCATGAACTCGGCTCGAATCCAGCGTCTAATGAACTCATTCTTCTTTTTTCCCCCGCTACATATCAGATTTTGCCAACTATTTATCACGAGAAAGACAAGTAGGAATCATCAATAAGTTTGTGCATCATATTTTATTTGCACATTTATTGAATGGAAATGTTTCTGATTCACGCATGCCAATTCCTCTTCAGATAGTGTCTTTATAGCAATGTGCGTGCGGTAGATCGCTCAGATTACATTGGGAAAACAGGCGACCGCTGCAAATTGCGCTTTAATGTTTAGCTGGTCAACTGTATGGTATGGAAAGCTTATATACCTGCTAGATGACCCCAACTCATACAGCTGCCATTGCAAGGCTCAGACACTTTGTAGAGAGGAATTTAACACAACTGCCTCTAGGAGTCGCCAATGGAAATAAAACAGACACGCACAAAAAATGTGCGTACGCCAGCCAGAAAGCTGCCGTGGAGCTGCGGACATTCCCACGTTCAGTTCATCGTTAGTTAATCCAAACGTGAGCGATTCTGAGCGTGAAACCTGGCGTACGCAAAGTTTTTGTGCGTACGCAGCGTTGATACATGAGGCCCCAGGAGCAGCAAACAAGCAACAAAAACAGCTACAATGTTTTAACAGCTCAAATTTCCCAGATTTAAAAAGGTTTATTACATAACCTGATGGGTATTTTGAGCTGAAACTTTAAAGACACATTCTGGAGTCACAAAAGATTTATATTAGGCTGCTTTCACACCTGCCTGATGTAGTTTGGTTGAATAGCACAAGAGTTCGTTTTCCCTCTTGGTGTGGTTTGTTTGGACTGGTGTGAATGCAGCAATCGTACTCAAGTGAGGACCAAAAAAAAAAAAAGAAAAAGTATTGAGTTGTCCTTGATGAGATGGTCTCGGTGCACTTTTAATCAAACCCTAGATCGGTTCGTTTGTGGTGAGAATATAATCCAAACTAAAACAGACCCAACCGCAAAAAGCACTGCACCTTTTTAACTAATCCAGCTGTTGTAGGCCGATGTGCTGTGCATTATGGGATGTGGAGGAAAAATATTTGTTGACAGCACTCTACCAACAATATTAAAGAGAGAGAGAGAGAGAGAGAGAGAGAGAGAGAAATGATAGAAATGAATGAAACACACTTCCTTCTGTTCTGCCACAAAAACACCACGACTAGAGAAATATTTGTACCCCAATTTGAAACATTGACTAATTCATTTTTTTTATTTAAATGACTCAGAAAAACTTTACCATGTACTCGGAGAGGATGAATTGACATCTAGACTAGCTGTATAATATGTATGCACCCTACACACCATACACTCTAAAAACTGCTGGGTTGAAAACAACCCAATTTGGGTTGTTTTGGTAACCCAGCGCTGGGTAAAAAAGGGACAAACCCAACGCTGGGTTACTTTAACCCAGCAAGTTGGGTTACAAGTTTAACCCAGCATGCTGGGTTGTGATTTTAACCCAACTATTAGTTAAAAATTACTACACTGCTGGGTTGAATGTAACCCAAAATGGGTCAGAAATTTAATCTAGAAACTGATGATTAAAATCACTAAAATAAAAACAATTCTACAGCAATACATAGTTGTTCAGTAATGGAATTTTATTTATGACAAAAGATAAAATGTGTCCAAATGAATTTGAGATTTTTTCCATCTGCACCTCAGCATTAACCCTTTGACTGCCTGCTCTACCAAATGGTTGACCTCGTTTTTACTGTTTTAAATAATGACTGTTAAAGTCATAAGAAAAAAGATGATTTAGTGTTCAAAATATTTCTTTTAAATATATATATATATATATATATATATATATATATATATATATATATATATATATATTTTTTTTTTATTGGTCTTACACATAATTTTTCGATTTTTCATAATTCTGGTACTTTTACCATAAACATACATATCAATCATTTGGTAGAGGTTGATATTTTAGAAATTATAACATGTGTTAAAATGTACTGATTGTGTTCAATAGCGACATTAGCAGTTGAGAAATGCAATCCAATTTTTTTTCTTGAAAGGGTTGTTAAGACGATTTCTGTGAAAATTTATCAAACTGTATCACAGAAACACTGACTAAAGTTCAGTAACAATGCATCAGACTGAAATCAGACAAATTACCTTAAGAAAATGCATATTTGAAATACATTCAAAAACATTTGCATCATTTATAAATCAGGAATCATCAGTAAGGCAATTGCAATGTTATTGCAGAGTAGAGAAAAACAATAGTATAAGGAAGTAATAATGAAAATGCATCTAAATGACTGAAGTCAGAAAGTAATTTGAGCACAAACATCAACATATTCTCATATAAATCATCAACTGCAATGCAGAAAAAAATATGTGAAAGTAATAATGAAAAGGCATCAAACAGCTTGAAAAAACAAAACAAACAATAAAAACTAAGAAAATACAAATTTTATATTAAGAAAAAATAAGAAAACATTTTATAACTTTCCCTTTAACAATTATGTGCAAACATCAATATATGAGCTATAAAGCAATCATCAGTAAGGATGATCAAGTTCAATGTAAATGCAGTTTTGAAGAAAAAACAGATATAAAAGTTAAAATGAAACCTGAGGATGGAAGCATTTTAAAACAAATTTGAAATAGGAAAACTTTTTTTAACTTTTACTCGAACAATCATGTGCAAACATCAATCCTGAGATATAAAAGAGTCTGTAAGAAACATTAGTTGCAATGTAACTGCAGTGTAGAGTGTCTTAAAAAAATATCTAGTCCATTATTATGTGCCGTCATCATAGCAAAGAGAAAAAAAATCAGTTATTAGAAATGAGTTATTAAACCTATTCTTTAGAAATGGGTGTCATGGTGGCACAGTGGGTAGTACGATTGCCTCACAGCAACAAGGTCGGTGGTTTAAGCCTCAGCTGGGTCAGTTGGTGTTTCTGTGTGGGGTTTGCATGTTTTCCCCGTGTTCGTGTGGGTTTTCTCTGGGTGCTTCTTTTCCCCCACAATCCAAAGTACAAGTTAAAGAACACAGAATCCAAGGAAGCAGTGAGGTCACAGTATTAATGATTACTGTTTGTCAGCAAAAATTAATGCTAGCAGAACCCTTACTGCTAGTGTCTCCTCCCCAGGATGTCCATAAACCACACCAGGGAACCAGGGAACACTGCTTGGGGTAGTTCACACCAAAGATGTAGAATGCTTTATAGCAAACGTTCACTTTGGCAAGTAATGTACTTTGCAATAATAAATAGCACAGCACGTGAGCAAAGGCTTGAAAGAAGTGGTGGTCTCCAAGGATGAGAACATGAGGAAACTCAATAGATTCTTGAATTCAATGGATGAAGATACTCAGCAATATTGGTCCCAATCTGAAAAAATAAATAGAAGTAAGATTTATTAAAAACTCAAAAGTGTAAAAGTTAAATATCTTTAGAGTTAACTTTAGAACACCTAAAATACCTTTAGAAGCAATTAAGGCCATAACACACCAAGCTATCAGCCAGTGTTGGCATTAGTTAACCACTGACCATGGCACTATGCTGCAATTTTTTGGCCCGAGTGAAGATGACAATGCAACAACAGGTTTGCCTAAGGAACTTTTAGTAATAGTAAGGCAAGATGAGCATTTGAAATTATTAAGTATTTAATTGTGTTTTCTTAATGAGAATAGATAAGACCCTTCTTCCTGAGCTGGGACTGTTTGCAACCGTATTTGTATAATTTGAAGCCGCATTTAAATTTTCTTTAAAAACTTCAAAAATGAGGCACAATCTCAGTTCAAGATGGATAAAATTGCTGAAATATTTTCCTAAAAAAAAAATCTTTCTGACTGAAGAAAGAATGACATGAACATCTTGGGTGACATCTTTTTATGTTTTACGCAGCAGATGCCCTTTCAACTGCAACCCATCACACTCTCATTTACACACACACTATGGACAATTCAGCTTACCCAATTCAGCTACACCGCATGTCATTGGACTGTGGAGGGGAAACCCATCCAAGGCTCAAACCAGCGACCATCTTGCTGTGAGGCGACAGCACTACCCACTGCACCCCCATGCCACCCTAATAACAAACATAAAAATAACATTTTCATTGTTAATAAAATAACTAAGACAATCATTATGCATTAAATGCATCATTATGCATCGAGAAACCTTTAATTGAATCCTTACCCTCTGAATTGTATTCAAATTGACCTAAAAACGAGGAAAGGTTCGCTCCTGTGCTAAAAATAAAACAAGAGAATGTCACTGGTTGCATGAACAGCAGATTTTAAAAAATAACCAGACAAAAACAAATTGGCATTAGAGTTCAATCTCTCAGTTTAAAGTGTTGAAGTGGCTAATGATTACTAGGGCTGCCCCCTAATAATTGAATAACCATTAGTCAACTAAAAATTTATTATTCATTCATTCATTTTCTTTTTAGCTTTGTCGCTTTATTAATCTGGGGTAACCACAATGGAATGAACCACCAACATATCCAGCATAAGTTTTATGCAGCGAATGCCCTTTCAGCTGCAACCCATCACTGGGAAACAAATACTCATTCACACACATACACCATTGACAATTAAGTCTACTTAATTCACCTTTACCACGTCTTTGGAAAACCGGGGCACCTGGAGGAAACCCACGCGAACACGGGGAGACCAGCAAACTCCCCCAGAAAGGCCTATTGACTGTAATTATTCAACTAATGCTTCAAATGAACATTACAAGTCAACCAGACAAATGTTTAGACAAGGGCAGCCCTAATGATTACAATGAACCAAGTAAAATATTATCACATACCTTCAAATGTGGGGATTAACTCCTCAAGATTGCATTCTTTAAGTTTGATTTTCACGCAATTATCCATCTGAAAAAGAATAACAGATAAAAGCGTTTAAGCAAAATTAAGTAAAAAAAGATCATGTTAGCCAAAAGTCACTATATCACAAAAATACTCCTAAATGATAATAATTATCCAGGGTGTCACATAAAACGGTGGTCAAACTTTTTCTTTTTGCAGTCGAAGATGATTAGGTTGGAATTAGCCTTAGCTCAGACATTTCCGTTAGCATGAAACGACCCTTACATACAGGATTAATTAAAGATAGCTCAAATCACGTCTAGAATGTAAAATGCTCATAGTAAATTAATAACATTTGCTATTCAATGTACAGATGTACAGCTAAACAAAATGTACATGCAGACCAGGACAATTATTGTATATATTTTGATAAAAAAAAAACATTGTTAGAAGCTGAATTCAACACTTATGCATCAAAGTATTGTCACAAAAATCCATGAACAAACTTAAGAAATACAAGAGTAAAAATACTACTTACTGCTTTACAGTTAACACCCCAGAAAGATCACAAATCACAGTAACGTTAACGTTACTTACTGTCATCACCTAGCCAACATAAAAATCTGTGTCATTCAAAAGGCATTTTATTACAATAAAAAGCTGCTAAATTATCCTAGGTGTTGTGTTTATAAAGTGGTCATCAAACATGCTTCACGTTAGTTTCATTAGTTACCTTATACTTTTCGAGCTCCTTCCGATGCCATGCGCGCTTACCCGTCCACCGATCAACAGGCTGGGCGTGAGGCGGGCACAGGTCAGGCGTTAAGCAGGTCGCACACCAGAAGCGGCGCTCGGCGGCGCGCCGCGCAGCGCCACGCAGCGCCATGTATTTTAGAATTCTAAACATAGGTTTCTATCAGGATACACACACCGGCGCCGCAAGTCGGCGGCTGTCGGCGGCGCCCGGCGACGGCTCAGGACGCAGTTCATTTTTCAGCCGCGCCACAGAGCGCCATCTGATTAGTTTCATGTTAAATATCATTCGAATGTGCGCGTCTGGTGTGTGATACCTTAAACTGTCATGTGCGCGCCGTGTTGCGGCGCCGAGCGGCGCTTCTGGTGTGCGACCTGCTTTAGGCGGAGCAACAGCTCGGGCGTTAGGCGGAGAAACAGGTCCGAAGAAACCGGCGGAGAAACAGGAGAAACGAGAAACAGGTCGCCGTTAGGCGGAGAAACAGATCCGGAGAAACAGGTGGCTCGTCAGGCGGACTCGGAGCAACGGTTCAGCCATAAGGCGAGCACAGGTCAGCGTGAGGCGGAGCAACAAGTCGGCCATCAGGCGGAGAAACAGAAAAAAAGCGCGTGTATATTATACTAAGTAAACTAAGTGTGTTATTTCTTATGAAAATTGTTAAATACACACTAAATAACTTACGTCTCACACAGAATTTCACTCGCTTCCCCTCAAAGACAGCGCAAAGAAAATGGCGGTTTCTCACGTTGATGTCCCTGCATGTTGACGTGACGTGCGTGCTCTCTTTCACGTCCGCGTTCCCAACCCAGCACTGCTGGGTTATAGATAAAGATCGATTTTCAACCCAAATTGGGTTGAATCAACCCAATTTTGTTACCCAGCAGTCTCAACCCAGCATTTGGGTTAAAAAACCAACCCAGCGTTTTTTAGAGTGTAGGAAATGGTTAATGTAAATTAATGTATCTTATTTAAATAATTTAAACTTATTATTATTATTATTATATTTTATCAAATGTATTCTGTTTTTTGTCATTATTTCTTATCTATTGTATTATTATTGTTATTTATTTATTTATTTATTTGATGGTTTTAATATATTACATATTTGGAGTGATTTGGCAATACTGTACTGAATGTCATGCCAATAAAACAACTTGAACTTGAGAGAGAGAAAAACATTACCTGATGGATCGTTGGTAATATTTCCGGAAGACGACCATGTTGCAGTTTAGCTAAATTAATACACACCTCCTCCTGAAGTGACTTGCGATGTGCCTTTGCCGTTTGCAATGCATTAAAACACTGTTACAACTGCAGCTGAGCTTCATTCTCAAAACGTATAGTTTGTTTAAAAGTTATGTGTACAAACTATATAGTATACATGAGCTGGGATAAAAATCACCCAGCGCAGTCATAGCTCCATAGTAAATATTGACATTTGATGTCTGCCGGTTTGTTTAGTTGCAGGAGTTCATTGTCATTTTCCTGCATGTTAATTCTGACCAATCGAAAAGCAGTTTAGGAAATATGTTTAACAACATTTGGCCAATAAGTGATGTGGATTTTGTCAGATGACTGCATTTTGGTTCTTTTTAACTGGTTTGGACCAAAGCAATCAGTGTGGTGTGAAAAGAACCCAAAGACGGCAGAAAATGCTACAATGCATCATTTGTTTTCCTTGGTCCAGACCAAATGATCCGAACCACAGATGTAAAAGCACCCTTAAATCATGAAAAATGGTTAAAATAAGTGCTCTTTAAGACTATTTTGTGCAAATAGAAAGTAAATTAAAAGCAGGGTTGACTTATTGCTCTAAGTGTATGTTCATGCTTTAAATCCAGCTTCAAATGCATTTCAACCTATTTCTCAGATATCACTGCTTGACCTCTTTACTGAACTTCTCGGCTACATAAACTCTGCAAAACGAACACCGTTTTCCACAGACTAATGTTTAGATTAAAAAAACAACATGTAATCACACTATCAGAGACAGTCTAAGCCCACAATCTGTTCTTAAGAGAAAAAACTGTGCTAATCCATGTGCTTTCCAGCATTAGGGCAGATCTGACCATTTCAGTCTCCTGCTCATAAATCCCTCTCAGTGACGGCCGCGTCACTATTAAGATTTCATTAGGTCTTAAGGCAAAGCTTCTCTCAAAGAACTCTTGACCATCTGGCACTGAGACACACACGACCGCACACTTTCCCTCACTGCTTTGCACTTTCGCACACACAGACATGCACATTCTGCAAGGTCTAATGCACCGGCACACATAAGATATTTTATCCAGTTTTTTTTTTTCCATCTATATAGAAGTGAGCAGTGTTGTATGTGATAAAGCTCCACCAGACCACACAGCCAAAATAGTTTTGCAGCCTGCAACTGAAAGAATCATGTAAACAAACTCACTTCTAAAGCATTTCACTTCCTGTCGAGCTCAAAAGACTGCCGTCCCACTAGAAACTTAATTTTGGTCAAGGGGGAAAACTGTCAATATCCATGATGCCATGTAAATAGTTTAATGGTTTAAATTTATACACTTTTTTTTACAGAAAAAAATATGTCTAAATTACCTTGTGATTGTCCCTAATCCATTGAAAAGTGAATAAAGGAACAATGTACTTTCCTGTGACATTTGAATTATTTTTAAAAGTACTGAGAGCTGAATCTGTTTTTCAAAACTAACAAAGAAAGCAGAAGTACATTTTTTAAAGATTTATTTTTGGACTTTTTGCCTTTATTAGATAGGACAGTATTGAGACAGGAAGCGAAGTTCGAGAGAGAGAGAGAGAGAGAGAGAGAGAGAGAGAGAGAGAGAGAGAGAGAGAGAGAGAGAGAGAGAGACAATATACTCTGGCAGACTACCTTCACACAGTGACAGATAAAGGTCTGAGGAACACCCTGAGCACATACGGACTCAGCGGACACCAGCTGACTATAGAGACGGGCCGGCACAGACAAACATGGCTGCCGGTGGAGGAGCGGCTGTGCCCACACTGCCCTCAGCAGCCGATTGAAACAGAACTGCACTTCCTTACGGAGTGCACAAAATACTCAGAGATCCGGGAGAAGTTCTACCCGAAACTCATACACACACACAAAAACTTTGAGTCCCTGTCAAACAATGAGAAACTGCCCATCCTACTGGGGGAGTGTGTGTGCTGCTGTGTGTTAGCAGCTCAGTTTGTGCACTCCTGCCACCGTCTGAGGAACCCACAATGATCCGCTCCACTGTCTCCAACACACAACACAGGAACTCTTTACTCGTGGACTTACTGTTTATATTATTGTCACCACTTTTATCCTGTTTCACAAATTACCATTAATCTATTTTTATTTTTATTAATATTTTTAGTTTTACTGATATATTGTTATTTTTATTAATCTATTTTTTTACATTTCTTTTCTTTATTTCTATATTATATTTTATGTTCATATTTGTTTGCACTACTGCCCTTTTTGCACTGTCTTGTCTGTACGCAGCGACGCTGCACTGCTTTGGCAATACGAATGTACAGTTATTTGTCATGCCAATAAAGCACCTAAAATGTGAAATGTGAAATGTGAGAGAGAGAGAGAGAGAGAGGCTGTTTCTCAATATGCGTTCTTCAGCGGTCTTGCGTCCTCGTGTTCTCGTGCAACGTCATCATCAGCTGCCTACGTTCAGTTCTAATACTCAAGACCGCAAGTACGGAGGACGCGTGAAACTTCCCGGATGTGATCTTGATATCGAGGACGCACCGATGCAGACTTGAGCACCGAACTCGCTCTGGAAGTCCCAGAAGTCATTGCGACTGGAGGTGGGAAGCGCAGCATTTTATTTAGATTTATTATTAAAGTTCAGAGATATCATTTATTTACTTCAGGAGTTTCCCTAAATGAAACGGTGAAAGTAAAAATTAACATGAATATCTGAATAAAGGATTAAACACATTAAGGGTGTTTGTTTGCTGAAAATCGTATTAAAATTTGTTTTATTTATATTGTGCAGAGTATATTTATAATGTTTTTATGCAAAGTATATATTTTAAAAAGGGGGACATCAATAAATCGTTGTATGAGTGCAGTAATGTTAAAATAATTTCCATTTAAAACACGTGAAGGTCATGTGACCATCAGGAAGAACGCAGCATCCCAATTCTCAAAGGACGCGTTCTCTGCCCTCGCGGTCTCCTGAGTTCGTTCTTCCAAGGACACCTGGCAAGACCGCTCTCCACAAGAACGCAAGTCCATTCTCTGCGTTCTTGGAATTGAGAAACAGCCAGAGAGAGGAGGGGGGATGGGTAGGGAAATGTCCTCAAGCCGAGATTCAAACTATAGGGAAGCCCTGACGTGCTAGTGTATCATATGTTGGCGTGCCAACCAATAGGCTATTGTGCCAATGTAAGCAGAAGTCAATTAATTATTTTTCAGTATTTAGCCTGACATGTTTATGTTCCAAAACATTTCAAACATTTATTCATTTGTCTCTATTTCAGCAGTTGGAACAGCAGAATTAACCGCCAACTATTCCAGCATACGTTTTTTTACACAACAGATACCTATCAGCTGCAACCCATTACTGGGAAACATCCTTACATACTCATACACGCACAAATACACTATGGCTATTGTAATTCATCCAATACAATCTCACAGCAATTCGAAACTTTTTCATTTAGTGGCTAATTCGTACGAAATCGTACAATCTAATTCTTAATCTAATTCTAATTCTTAACTCTTCTCTAATTTTAGTACGATTTGCTCGTCCCCCAATGACGATTGGTTTTAGGGGTGGGGTAAGGTGCCATGCCTCCTTTTTAAAATCATACAATTTCATACGACTGAACTCGTATGAATTGGTACGTATTAGCCACTAAACTGCTAAAACGTAAAATACTTACGTTTTCTCTTGAGATCAGGCTGAACCAATTCACCTATAGTGCATGGCTTTGGACTGTGGGGGAAACTGGAGCGCCTGGAGAAAACCCACGCCAACACGGGGAGAACATGCAAACACACAGAAATGCCCACTGGCCCAGCCGGGACTCAAACTAGCAATCCTCTTGCTTTTAGGCGACAG